GGCGGCGGCGGGGACAGGCCGGGCCGCGCTGCCCCCTCCCGCCGTGTGAGGGGGGGAGTGCCGGCGGGGGCTGCTCGGTTACCGGAGGGGGAGAGGGGCGTTAATTCCACCCTCCTGCCCAGCGTGATGCTCCCGGGTTGGTTTTTGGGTTTGTTTGGTTTTTTTTTTATTTTTTTCAGAGAGGCTCGGCGGGTTACGCGGGCAGGGTGCGGGAAAGAGCCTTTCCTCTGCCCGGCGCTTCCTTTGCCCTGAATATTTAAGGTTGTTTTTGCGATTAAACTGGAAAAAATCTTTGGTTAAATCGAACCGTTGACTTGGAACTTTCAGTCAGTGAGTAAGAGTTCTTCCCTCACGGATAGATCCTTAAATAAAACTCGCTTTCTTGAACGGGAGGGAAATAGAAAATGAGAATTTGTTCCGATGATCTCGCCTTGTGTTTGGAGTAAATCCAGCGCTTCCAGGCGTGGCTGCTTTAGGGAGGGGGGCGATTCCCAGGCTGCCCCGAGGCAAGGTGGTTGGAAAGCAACAACGTGTCTTAAAAGCCAACCGGTGTTGAATGCTGGTGCCCAGGTCCTGTTTCTCTAGGTACGCTCGTTGAAGAAGCGTTTATTACATCTAGGAAGAGAATATTCAAGATTAGTCACAATTACGCAGTACTCGAAGGCATGGAGAAATCAGAATTTTATCATTTGCAGCCAGTTAGCTATTCCGGGTCGATGATAATTGCTGCCGCTTACTTGCACAGTTTCTGCACCCAGGAAGCAACTTGAAGGGATTAAAAGGAAACAATGAGGTTTAAAAAATTGGTACTGAGAGCGTCTTGTGGTGAGATGTTTATTTGATGAATTTTGGTAAGTTATTAAAGTCATCAGTAAAGCTTTCTTGGGGATTCTTTCCCCAACACTTCACTGTGTGGGGCTATAAAATAATACAGTCTTCTCCGGAATAAATAAGTTGTGCCTCCTTCGTGTGTTGTTTTTGCGTTGTGAATTTACAGCTTTTCCGTATATAAAGGAATCTTGTTCTCTAGATTCTGAAGAGTTTTGCTCTAGGTAGGTTATTGTTCCGAATTTTGCATGTGCAAATGGTCTTCAAATGATGGTGCAGCATCTTTGTAGGATGCTGTCAGAGATTGAAGGGAGCATGGAGAAAATAAAGTATCACAGGAAAAGATTTTTCCACTTGAAAAGACATCCTGGGTGCATTTGCCAAAGAAATCTGTGTGTTTTCCTCAGAAATGCTGATGCCCCTTTATCATAGGGTGGAGTGTTTTGATTTTGTTCTTTTCTTGGTTGTTCTGTTTTGGTTTTGTTTGTTTGTTGTTGGTTTTTTGTTTGTTTGTTTGGGTTTTGGGTTTTTTTTTGTTATATGATCTCCATATTTAGGCCTCTTGCTTCCAAATCAGCTTCCAGTGTGTGAACCTGAGAGCTGGCAAGTAGCTTTATGAGCCATAGGATCTGGCAGAACGCTTATTTGAGGGATTAGGGTCTGCAGTCTCCACAACCACAAACCTTATAAGAAGTGCTTCAAAGGCAAACAAAAACCATCCTTATAAAACCCCCAGAATTAACCTAAGGAAAGTTGGGGATTTCTGAGTGATGGTATTGTAACCAAATTCTCTTCCCAAGATTCAGTCCTCCTTACGCTGCAGACAGAAGACAGTATAGATGATACAGAAATAAGTTTGTGTTTCAAATACGTGCTGAGGAGGAAGTATTTCTTGTTACCTGGTCTGTCAGAGTGGCCCGGTGGCCAGCACAGGGCCTCTCGTGATCAGGTGTTGCAGAAGTTCAGTTTCCATAAACACGTTTGAATCAACTGATTATGAAAAAAAGAAATTCAAGTAATCCATTCATTTGCTTGAATTAACATTTTAGTGGGTATGATAGATTTTATTGTGAATTTAGACACAATTATTTTTCAGCTGCATGAATAGCTTTATCCCTGTTAACTTCAAAACATCAGTTGACTGATTTTAAATAGAGCTGTGGTTGGTTTACACACTCCCACTCGTCAGCTTTGTTTCTGTCAGTGCGTTGCTTAACTGGGATGTGGCATGCAGAGTCTTGATTTTAAAATACTTGATAAGAATAAATAGAAAATGCTAATACATCCGGGTTTATTTTGGCCTTTTTTAAGGTAGAAGCCTTGAGTGACTTGACTTTTTGTTTTGCTTAGGGCTCAGAGATGGACTCATCGGAACGATCAACAATTAGAAGTGAGCAGAAATCCAGGTAATTTGGGTTGCAAAGGTTATACAAAACTCTCTCTTAATGAAAATCAGAAAACACAAGTGGAAATATATTACTGAAAATTGAATAGAGGAACAACATCCTGCTTAAATTGGAAATGATCCTAGAAAGTAGTTTTTCTGCTGTGTGCTTCATACTCAGTTAAGCTGTTCATGAGGAATATATATATATAATATATATAAGGAATTTATATTACATATATATATAATATACTTGCTGAGAGGAAATAGTTTGTGCTGAATGTAGCAGGAAGGCTACATGGGGATTATCAGCAATGTATTCTTTGTAGGCATTAGCTACCAACCTTATCTACATGCTTATTAATTGCTTTGTCTGAGGCCATTTCAAATTAAACATTATGCTTTTAGCTAGATAGTTTCAGATGATTGTGAAATAAGAGCTGTTAAACATCCATATTCCCAGGAATTAAAAAAATCTGTAGTTTTGAAAGTCAGGAGAGTTCTAAGGTTCTGTATTACTGAAATCCTCATTTGGATACAGTGATTTCACCGTAGGATTTAAGTTCATTTTTACCTCTTTGCAAAGTAATGATGAAAGCCAGACCTTCTCGGCTGTTTCTTACTTAGAAAGTAATCTGTGGTTAGTAACATCTGATTCGTGGGCTAGAGGATCCCTTGATCTGAAGAAGCATAACTGTTTTCTTATGTTCATGCATCCTAAAGTGAGAATAAAACATACTCTTTTTCCCAGAAAAACAAGGAGACGTTTCTTTGAACTACTGTGACTTGTCCCTTTAAAATAGTTCTATTTACTTTCTATCAGACGTGCATTAAGTAAATCATTGGACACTCCTTGACTACTTTTTCCAGAATTTCATTTGAAGTGATGTTTGGCTAGCCCAGTGGACTGATAATTGTCAATTTGGATCTCAGACATTAGTGATTGGAAGTTGTTGCCGTCTTTTGGCTTAAATTAATTACGCACAGTTGTCTGAAGTGCCAAGAAGACTTAAAGTACATTGGGGGTTTGGGGAAGGCTGTGAACTGCTGCCAACACCATTCTTCTGGGTAGAAGTGGAGAGCAGTTCATTTTGGTTGGTTTGTTCTTTGCACAAGCTTAAATAGTTCCTCTGGGCTTCTGGAGTCAGTCGTGAGATCTTCAGACAAGTCAGAAAATGCGCTGTAAAAAAACCCAAAGGTCTTTGTTTTCTGTTTTAAAGAAAATTCTTAAAAAGTCTAATAAGAAAGCAGCCTCGGGACCTTCTTCTTGTAATTGGAACTGGGGTGAGTGCTGCAGTGGCCCCAGGAATCCCCGCGCTGTGCTCCTGGAGAAGCTGCATCGAGGCTGTGATCGAAGCAGCTGAACAGCTGGAGGTGCTTCACCCAGGAGATGTTGCTGAATTTCGTAAAAAAGTGATCAAAGATAGAGACCTGCTTGTGGTCGCACACGATCTCATCAGGAAAATGTCACCAGTGAGTCTGTAACTTACGTTGCTTTCTAAAATTATTATAAACTTGTAGTTAGTTATCAACAACAATTCTTTTCAGCTTTCTATGACTTGAAGATTTTCCTGGTAAAATTTGAAATTTTGCTGGTAATCAGTACACTGTACGTTTTGGAGAGGCTAAAAACTCCTTTTTAGTGTAAGAAAGCTTTCATCGTGATTAATGCAAGCAAGACTCCTGACTAGTAAATATTCACCATAACGTTTCTTGGGGGTGGAAGAGGAATTTTTTTGCTCTGCTGTCTAAAGAAACCCTGAAAATACAGGGAGACCTTGACCCTACTGACAGCCTTAGATCATACAGACTTAATCGCTGCTGCCACTTTTCTGGACAGTCCATGCATGCCCAGTTTCTCAGCCATTCGTTTTAGATTCCAGAGATATTCAGACTGTGTTAATAAAACAGTCTTGGAGCTGAAATAATCAGGGTGACATACGTACTGCGAAGTTGTAGGATGTGTCAAGCATTTTGCAACGTGTGGTGAGCTCCTCTACAAAGTGTAGAGGAGGAGGATGGGTGTATGCTTAGGCTTTTGCAGCAGATTTAATGAGTAATACATTTTTCTCAACCAGGAAACAAAACAAAAAAAAAACCCCAACCAACAACCCCCCAAATCCCCCTTTAATAGCATGTCCCAGACTCGGGGATGATGATTTTAGCACACTAACTGATTTCAGAGCAGTGAGAGCGTACTGACAAAGGGGGGGTTTCCAGGTGGTCAGGCCAGGAACTATATTGGGTGTAGAAACAGCCGTTTGTTCTGTGTGTAATACAATTTACTGAGTAGGAATTTGTGTGTTTCACAGAATTGTTACGTGTTCCTGTCAGGCTCAGCAGATGCTCTGGGCTTTTAGGACAGCGTGGCCTTGCGTGTGCTTAGAAGAGATGAGTGAGGATTTAACGGTAGAAAAATGGTTTTGTTTTATTGTACCTGAGAAAACCAGAGTGTTATTTTGAGCTGCATTAAGCGGAGGCAAGAGCACCTGAATAATTTGAGATTGTTTTTGAGGCTTTGTGCTTAGTGCACTGTTTAGGCCTTCTTTGAAAGAGATGCTTTGGCATGAAGTAGAGAAATGATGTGGGTTTTCTCTTGGAGGTGATTCTCACGGTGCACGTGGTCCTTATAAAATGTTTTTCTTTTTCTTTCTTCAGCGTACTGGGGATACGAAACCCAACTTTTTCCAGGATTGCTTAATGGAGGTGTTTGATAATTTAGAACAACATATTCAGAATCCCGTCGTTCTGCACTCAATCCTGAGGCTCATGGAGAGAGGCACAATGGTTCTGACTACAAACTATGATAATTTACTTGAAATATTTGGTCAGCAACAGGGTAAACCTATGGAATCTTTAGACTTGAAAGATAAAGATAAGGTATGATAAGAGCAGTAACTTTTTTAGACTTAATATAAGAGAAGGCAGCTTGTAAGCTTCATTGAAAGATGTTTTCCTGTTTATAAAGAGTGTCAGGGCTAAAACTCCTGCATTGGTAAAGCACATCTATAAGCTAATAGTTATTTTCGGTGTTTTTATTCTGAATAATCTGGTAACAGTTACCAAACAGAGTCTCAGTGACATGTTTATTAACCAGTTGCCCCCCTCACTCCATGGAAAAAACCCACAAACCTACTTAATTTATGTGAAGTGATGGTTCCAGTCACAAACATGATTTCACCTAGCTGGTAGTTAATGTGCTGTTTGTATCTTTTCTGTCAGCATTGCTGGAACTTGCTGCTTGGTTGAATGCTTGTTTAGACCAAAATACTTTCAATATCAGTAATTGCCTCTTCGTTATAATTTAAAGCAAGCTGTGCAATTAGTGATTAAAATTATCTCTTGCTGCAGAAAAGTGCAAAAGAAGTTACTTCTGCTTTAAGTGGTTTTGTGAGTTAGGCCAGCTGTATATTTTTGCGGAATCTCGGTTATTGTAGGATATTAGAGTGTAACAAAAGAATGTAACTTGCGTGATGTGTTTTTAGGTTCTTCAGTGGGCAAGAGGTCATATAAAATACGGAGTTCTTCACATTCACGGCTTATATACGGATCCTTGCGGCATGGTGCTGGATCCCTCGGGATACAAAGATGTTACTCAAGATCCTGAAGTCATGGTTTGTGTGATTTTTAAAATTTTTACTCTGTTTGGCCAAACCGTTCTATTGTAATCCCTGCACAGACGTTACCTAAGGCTAAAGTTTTGTCAGACCACGTAGATTAAGTAATTAGGGAGCAGAAAAATGGCAGCGTTGCTCCGGAAGCCAGCTATGTTGCTAAGCAACACACTCTTGTGTACTGCTGCTTTGTAAATCATAGTCAAAACCCTCAGCTGTATGTTGTTATTCTAGAGTTATTTGTATTCATTTTCTGGAAGAACATTGGCCCCAAAATACCAGACACCAGAACAAGGATTCCTCACCGACTGATTGCTTGGATTCATTTTTTTAGGGGCTTGAGCTGTTACCAGCTCTCGATCCTGGATTTAATGTCATCTCTTAGGTACTTTAGGAAGTGAAACATTTGGTCAAGAATATTAATTTTCCTTATTTACAGATTGACCTAATGAGAGCCTAATATTCTGTCATCATAATTCTTTCAATTTAAAATTCCCTTGTTGGAAATACTTACATGTGTACTTAATTTTGTAGGGTAACTTTGATTTCAAATACATTTTTTTTGTAGAAACAGTCAGTTTGTCCTGATCCTAAAACATGCTGAATTCAGTTCAATAGTGACGTCTGCTCTGTTGCTTCTTTTAAGTCTGACATATTTTAAAAGTTCTCACCTTGGCCCTTTGACTACTCAAGTAAATGTAGCCCTTGTGTGTTTCTATTTCTTAACAGGGAGTTCTTCAAAATTTGTATCGAACCAAGTCTTTCTTGTTTTTGGGCTGTGGAGAGACTCTGCGGGATCAGATATTCCAAGCTCTTTTTCTTTACACTGTAAAGAATAAAGTGGATTTAGAACATTATATGTTGGTGCTTAAAGAGAATGAAGATCACTTCTTTAAGCTCCAGGCAGATATGCTGCTGCACGGAATCAAAGTAGTGTCCTACGGGGACTGTTTTAAACAATTTCCGGAGTACGTGCAAGATCTGACTGCTCAAATCTGCAAGCAGAAAAGTCCAGGTAATGTGTCCTCTTTAATAACAACATTTTGAGTAGGTCCCTGGCAGGCTGCCACGGCAGAACCACCAGCAGTGGGTGTGAAGTGCTGACCCCGGGCCTTGCTTATGACGTGGAGCTGGAACATGTGGCAAAATTGTAGCCAGATTTCTTTCTGTTACGGTCTGGGGATTCTTGGAAATCTAATCTTTAATTCTGAAGTTGTCTTTTTGTGAGCGGTTGTTAAGATGTTTTATTTTCTGTAAGTGTGTGTGTGTGTGTGTGTGTGTGTGTGTGTGTGTGAACTACTTCAGTATGTTGAGTATTGCGTTACATGAAATGTGACATGTCGGTAGAAGAGACTGAACGAATTGGAGGCGTGAACTGGTGGGATGAGCTGGCTGAGCCACAGTTATCTGATTAAACATAGAGCGGGAAATGAAATCAGGACACCCAATAGTGTTTGGTTTAACACAGTTTGGGTAAATGGGTGAAAACCTGAGTGTGAGGATGTTTTGTGACAAAATAAGTAGAAGAGGCTGTGGAATAATACTCCATTTGTGACAGTGAATAGCATTCTGTACAGGGCGTTTAATGCTAAAATGGGAAATAACTCCGTGCCTTTGCTGGAGGTAACAGTCCTGCATCAACAGGGAGCTGAATTTTACTAACGAGGCCCATTCACCTACTTCCCCCCACTGCTCCCTTCCATCCTGTTGTCTCAACTCGTAAAATCCTTTAGCTGCAGGAATTATGAGCTTTTAATACAAACCCAGGGAAAACCAACAACTACATGTTGAAGGAAAGAGATTTCCCTAGTGTTTTCCAAAGAAGGACGGTTCTGCTGTGGCTTATCCAGAGAACTGAGGAAAATAACTGGACCTTGGGAGGAGTACTGATTCACAGTTCTCCTGTTTGTCATGCCAGTGAAATGTTTTGTCTAGAGTTACTCCCAAGTGGTGCATAGCAGGAACCTTCTCCTTGTCCTCCTTAAAGAAAATTGGAGGTGTACGCCCAAATTCTGTAATGGATTTTGTAACTGGGTGAATGTTACATTTAGGCTGGATTAGATTTTTCTTTCCATGAAGGCTTGAAAAAAGCATTTTGTATCTCACACAGCCTTTGGGTTTCAGGATGTTTGTCTGCAGCGTAGACAAAAGTGAGGAGGGGTGCAATTTCAGACACTGAACAAGCCTCAGCCTGCTCGTTTGTTCTTGACATGCTGCTCTTGGGGGACGTGGCTGAGGGACTTAGTCCGAGCAGAGTCTAAAGCCCGTTGAGTCTGGTGTATCCAGTTTTCTGCAAAGCAGCCATTGATCCCAAAACAGAGTGCAAGGTACATTTACATAAGGTCTAAATGGAATTGACTGCAGAATGAGAGTATGATGCTTCCCTTTTCATTTGGTGGAATTACTGATTGCCATAATATTGCAAGAAGAGGGACCTTACCCTGACTTTGAAATCTTGATCTCATTTACAAGTCAGGATCCTCAAATCCCAGAATCATCTCGGCTGGAAAAGCCCTCGCAGCTCCTCCAGTCCCACCATGACCCTCCCCCTGACCGTTCCCAACTCCCCCAGACCCCTCAGCGCTGGCTCAGCCCGACTCTTCAACCCCCCCAGGGATCCCGGGGACTCCCCCCTGCCCTGGGCAGCCCATTCCAACGCCCAACAGCCCCTTCTGCACAGAAATCCTTCCTCAGAGCCAGCCTGACCCTGCCCTGGGCAGCTTGAGGCCATTCCCTCGGGGCCTGGCGCTGGGGCCTTGGCTCCAGAGACTCATCCCCCCTCTCTGCCCCCTCCTGGCAGGGTTATATGAAAAGACATGAGAAAAGCAGGCCCTGATCATGATAGGGGACTTCAGCCACCTGGACATCTGCTGGAAAAGCAGCACAGCCAACTGCAGGCAGTCCAGGAAACTACAGGAATGGGTTGAGGACAACTTCCTAGTGCTGGTGCTGGAGAGCCTGACCAGAGCGGGGGCACTGCTGGGCCTGTCCCTCGCTGTCGGAGAGGACCAGGTTGGCGGGAGCCTGGGCTGCAGCACTCCTGCCCTGCTGCAGTTCTCTGTCTCCAGATGAAGTGGCTCAGCCACTACCTGTCGTATTTGAAAAGTCATGGCAGACTGGGGAAGCTCCCAGTGATTAGAAAAGGGGAAACATAACCCTCACTTTTAACAAGGGAAAAAAGGAGGAGCTGGGGAACTAGAGGCCAGTCTGTCTCCCCTCTGTGCCCCCTGGGATCATGGAGTGGATCCTCCTGGAAATTTTTCTGGGGCAGATGGAAAACAGAGAGGGGATTGGTGACAGCCAACAGGACTTCGTGAAAGGCAAATTGTGCCTGACAGGTGTGGTGGCCTTCTTTAACGGGGTTACAGCACTGATGGGTAAGGGAAGAGCGAGTGCTGGCATCTACCTGGACTTGTGCAAAGGTCTGACACTGTCCCACCTGACAGCCCCGGCTCTGAACTGGGGACGGGGATTTGATGGGCAGAGCACTCGGTGGATCAGGAATTGGCTGGATGGTCACACGCAAAGAATCACCGTCACCAGCTCTGTGTCCCAGTCAGAGCAGTGATGAGTGGTGTCCTCAGGGGTTGGCACCAGTTTAACATCTTTGCTGGGGACACCGAGCTGTGTGGTGGGGGCACAGGCCGGGGGAAGGACCCAGCCAGAGGGACCTGGGCAGGCTGGAGAGGGGGGACGGGCCGACCTCAGGGGGTGCAACAAGGCCAAGGGCAAGGTCCTGCCCATGGGCCGGGGCAACCCCAGCACAAACCCAGGCTGGGCCAGGAGGGGACAGGGACAGGACCAGGGGCAACGGTTTAAACTGACAGAGGGCAGATTTAGATGAGACCCAAGGCAGAAATTCTCCCCTGTGAGGGGGGTGAGGCCCTGGCACAGGCTGCCCAGAGAAGCTGTGGCTGCCCCCTCCCTGGCAGTGTTCAAGGCCGGGTTGGACGGGGCTTTGGGCAACCTGGGCTGGGGGAAGGTGGCCCTGCCCGGGGCAGGGGGTGGCACTGGGTGATATTTAAGGTCTTTCCCACCCCAGACCATCCTGTGATTCTAAATACAACCTTGCCCTTTCGGGTTGTTACATAGAAGTATAAAAACCTGGATGCTCACTTGAGCTGTTGCTGTCTCTTTCCACTTCTCTAGATGCTGATCGAGTGGACAGCACAACACTGCTGGGTAAGTAATGTTGTTTTCACAGAAAGTTCCATAATCTATCAGAGAGATAAAAGTAAGTCTCTCTTACTAAGTAATTAAATGATTGTGCAGTCCTCTGATTGAGCTTGAAAATTCTGTTTAACAGATTCTCTTTTTACCCTCTTACTTTCTTTCTGCCTGTTAACAGGTAACTGCTGGTTGCCAGCTGTCAATAAAATGACAAATAATAGAATGGAAAAGCTCCATAAAGTGTATATAAATAAAGTTATTAATGCTGATTAGAGTATTCTAAGGTAATACTAACATCCATGAGGGTTTGGCTTAAATTTGCAAAAATATTTTTGGCTATTTTGAATATTTTCCTTAAGAAGACGTAGAAAAGTGAATCTCAAGCTTAAGTGTGTGGTGCCGAAGGTGAACTTTTGGTTAATTGTTGTTCATGTATCTGTCTGATACTTGTGTGTATAAGCAGAGCAATAATACATTCCAATTTCTGGTATAAAACAGGAAAAACTTCCTGTGAAACCACACTTCGAAGGTATTTGTGCTGTAAACAATATGAAAATTGTATAAAAGTATAATTTCATTATTGCATGTCAGAGTCTGTGGCATGGCAGGAAATGAAACCCCCTCCACTTTTTCACAATCAAAAAGTACACAAGGTCCAAGATACTTGGGGGCAGCTGTGAAGTCAGAGATTACTTCTGTAATCCCAACCAGATTTTAAATTTATCTGACTTTCTGATGAGTTCATCAATCTCTTTTTCATTAAAGTACAATCAGGCCTCAGTGGAGAAGGAACCAAAAACCTGAGCACAATTTTTTCCAGTACAACTTAACATAGAGCTCCTTTCCTGACTTACTAACACCCTCCTTACAAGTAATTTTAGCACCCTTGTATTTTGGAATACATAGCAAGTAAAAAGAAAAGAGATAATTATTCCTTAACAGAAATTTGTATAAGCCTGAAAAAAAAAAAAACAAACCCCAAAAATTAATCTGTCTGGAGTTTTAAGGGATGGATGTCCTGGTTTTGAAGGAATTTCCCTTCTATTCATTTTTATTATCCAGCTGTGCTGTTTATACTTTCAACAGTAGCTCACACCAAGAATTTTTTTCCTCTGAACAAGAGATCCAAACTTTTTAAAAGAAGCTTCTCATCTCTGAACAGCCCAGGCATTGTCACCCATAATCCAGAACTAAGCTTTTTGTACAGTTGGCTACTTCCTACCACAGCTCAGTGCTGGGGAAGAGCACAACATCCCTGAGCTGCCGCAGACTTGCCGTAGGGTTAGAGTTCAGAATCCAAATCCAAGAACCTTGGTCAACCGGTATTTTATCTTAATATTTGGTGCTTATAATAAAAAGTACACAAAGCACACATATGTAGCAATGTTAATTTTTTTTTTTTCCCCCCCCTCCTTCCACAGGAACTTCGTGTGTGGACTGTGCCAAAAGGAAGTTAGGAGAAAATGGCACTGACTCTCCTAAGAGAATCAAGCAGTCAGACAATGGTATAGCCACTATTTAATGAAAACCCCACCCAAACAGAACCCAGCCCAGAAGCTTTTTAACAGTAGGTGTTTTACGTCTGCTGCATGGGAAGTTTTAGACTGAGTATTTCCATGGTTTTAAGTGGAATAAAACCTGTGCATTTTAGCCTTTTGTTTTCTAGAGCTGTAAATGTGTGCTGTACGGACAGCTTGGGAGTCCCCCTCAGCACTTCCATGCTGCTGCCCTACCTGCACGGTCGTTTAGGACCAGGTGAAACTTTTCTCTGCCTGTGCTTCAAGCCAAGGTAATGTGTGTAATCTGTGAAAAACTACTTCTGGCATACCTGCGAGTTGCCCCTCACATGGTTTTCTCTTTTCATCAGCTGAACTGCAGTTTGGCTGCAGGGCTCTGTCAGCACAAGGCTGCTCACAAGCTCCAGATTCCCAAGCTGTTGGGAGCAAAAATTGTTGTTCCGCATTTATAGAACCCGCATCGTGGTAACCTGCTTGTTTTACACTTTTAGCATGAGTATTTGTTTTTTGTTTGTCAACCTGTTAAGGCATGAGCTCACACGGGGAGAAGAGGGTGCAACAGTAAGGTATCAGCAGGGACATACCCTGGGGCTTACTGACCTACTTGCAGTGTATTTCTGTGGAAATATTTTAAAAATGGTTGGTTAAATGATAAAGTATGCAGCTGGTTATCTTGGCAAACAGATAATGGATAGTCTGGATGCAGCAGAATTAAAACCAGTTAGTGTCTAATCGTGTACCTGTAGACAATCTCTAGCATGTTTGACTTCAGTTAAAGACTCAAAAGGATTAAGGTGCCGTCACTTCACCCACCACCGAGTTGTCTCAGCACTAAACCGACACCGTTACCCGTCCAGTTGCTAACGCAGGCAGTCTGTCATTTTCTAGCCAGCTCACCCCCGCAGGAGAGTTCTTTGTTCTGAGGGTGGCAGCGATGGGGCCGTCAGCTGAGCTTTCTGTCTGAACTGGGGGGGGGCAGCTCTTTTCCTCCCAGGTCACAAAAGCAACTTCTGCTTGTTTAGTAAATTTTTCATTTTGTACACATAGATACAAGGGAGGTGGCTGCTTCTTTCTACACCAATAACTACTGAGAGGCGTCGAGTTTGTGTGGTGCAGAAGTCTTTGTCCCTGGTCTGAAGTAGGTAAAGATCTACAGATTTTGCCTAGAAAAGTAATCTTAAACAGCCCAAGCACACTGACTCTTGTCCCTTCTACCCCAGAGGAAAACCCAGTGGTCTCTAATTGAGAATCTAGAAATCATACGTGGGGGGCTTAGTATGTGAGATAACTGCTTCATGTTATCAGTTCTCAAGGTTTCAGCTGCATTGTTTCAAGAGGTAAAAACCAAACCCAGCCCAAATCCAGCCCATACTCATCCTCACCCTTTGAGAGACTGTATGTATCCACACATGGCTCTTGGAGATGAAGTCTTTTAGCACCACGTGTAGCATTATCTGTGAGACTTTGATCTGCTCCTCCAGTCAGTGCGGAGGGGGCTCTTTGGAGAAGCGACCAGCTCACTCCTTTGGATGCCAACATACTGGCTTAGACCAATTCTTCAAGCTGCAACAAAATTAATCAGATGAGCTATTTTTATGGCCCTGATGACTGTAGTTATTGAAGCCCAACCCTAAAGTTGTACAACTCCTTATTTCATGCCTGAAGTCAGACACACACACACACCCCCCCACCTTTGGCAAGGATCAGCCCACCCCTCCCACTGGTGATTTTGTAGACGCTGCAGAAGTGCACAACAGCCTCCCCCAGTGCCATTTAGGTGTAGCCTGGAAAGCAGGTAACTAAGGAAGGGGTTATTTTTATTCCTCACGTACATAATAAGAAGGTAGAAATGCCTAGTTTGGGTTTTGGTTCCCTCCCCATCAAACAAAACAAACTTGTTGACCGTTTGAAAACAAACTTGTTGACCATTTATTATCCTGTTTTGCTCAAGCTGTGTAATGAAGTTGATAGGACATCTCTGATGACGCCGTACACTCTTTTTTAATAAAATATTTAAAGCCAAATGGGCCATTGTTGTAGGGTAGCTAAAATGTACAGCTTTCACCATTGAGACTGCTCAGTTCTTTACTGTGTTCTTCTATTTCAACCAACTCTTCCCAGCAAATAGTTAAAAAATTACAAACCAACACAAAACTTCTGTATTTGCAACAGAGATTGATGTGGGTCAGAGATGTTTGCAAATCACTAGAGGCTGCTCTTCTAGTCATCCTTCACACTGTTGTATTTCCACAGCTGTCAGTGGATTCTGAATTAAGGGACTGATGCTAACTCATGATTTGCACTCCGGGTAAATCATTTTATTTAACAAAGTGTGGCAGCAACATTAAGTATTTGATAAATATCTATCTCAAGTGTCCTGCTCCCACCAGGCCTTCCTTGCACAGTAACCCCCTGTCCAGACACCCGGTGTTGTGCACCACAAGCACAGCGTTAGCAACATGTTACAGAGGAGATATGGTTAATCAGCACGGTGGACAAAGGGAAGGGAGGGTAACAATGGAAGAAGATATAATTACAAACAACACACCGAGGTGGAACACAAGCCAGAGGAAGTGATTTGAGCCCTCTCAAACTGGGTTCTGTAACCAACGTCTTTAACTTGGCTGCTTAGATGAAGCATGGCCAACACAAACCTGAGGTACTGGCACAGCTACGTAACAACAATCTCAACTGGAAACCAATATCCTTCTTCCTAAGAACTTTTAAAGTTCAGCCTGTACAGCATCACACTCACACCTGCTTTATTATTTCTGCTTTTGGGGGGGGTGTGTGTGTAGAATACCTCAGAGGTGAATTTTTTCCAGGTTACATCACACCTCTGGAGAGAGATGGTGAGCTTTTGTAATGTTAACTCCTGTTTTCTTAAGGTTAGAGTGGAAGACTGAAGTCTCACTGAAAGGATGTGATATTGAGCAGATTGCAATATTGGTTTTTAAAAAACCCCAGGAACTAATCTTATCCAGAGGCAAATAGGTGCAGCTGGAACACTAAAGAGTGGAAAGGTCTTGCCTCGTGGTAGCTGCATCTAAACAGTGCACTGGAGCTGTGGCTAAACACATTACTTTCAAGAAAAGCAAGAGGCTTTTCCTTGCTGACAGGATGCTTATGTGAACCTCTGCTCCTTCATCTTGAGGCTAAAAAAGCCCCAAAACAGTTAAAGAGAAAACTTTGCATACCAGAAGGTCACAACCTCTGGCTTGCTCTTATTTGTTAACCAAACTCAATCGGTGAATAAGTTACTTCAGTATTTTAGAGAAGTGCTTGTTTTGAAAGGGAACCGCTTCTCTATCAACCTGAACAAGCCCCGTTCCAGCTCAGATCTGTAACAGTCAGCCGTGAACCTGAGATTGGCCCTGAAGTCACCCACACGTCATTCCGGAGGGGAACGGGGCGTGTGCTCTGTCCTCTCCTGCTCGCTGCTCTCTGGGTACTCGGTGAGATCCAGGGTCAGTACCCGGCTGAACATAACGTCATCGCGCTGAGAAGAGGAGGATCGTACAATGTAAAACGTTTCTGTTATTGGAAATAACCATTTCATAAATAACTGAGAGATACAACAATGAGCTTCAGTTACCAAAACGATCTTTACACCCAGCCAGTACCTGCACTCGCTTCTGAACACAAAGTAGTTCAAATCTGGCAACACAGCTGTGATGCACTTAAGGTGTAAATCAGTACTTCAACAAAAACCAGAGTGCATTATTTAACAAAATCTTATAATAATTAATTGTTACCTCTGGACACACTCCAATCAATGCATCTGCTTTGGAATAAAACTCTTCCTTTAGAGAAATAACTATCATTTGAAACTGCTCATGTGCCTGTTCTCTAATGAAACTTGATACCTTTGGAAAGAAGCCAAATATTTCAGTAGGTTAGTTCTGGCAGACTTAAACCATGCTCTAATTAGGGAATGAGGAGGAACTAAACCAGGTTAGCTGCAGAATTCAGTAACGAAATAGGATAAAATTTAAAAATAAAATGGTTTTAAGACAGGTAACTTTGCATGTTCTTAAGACAACCCCTCAGATTTGCTTTTTGAAACTGTGTAAGAAAATAATCGTTCAGTGAATAAAGTTACAGAAAAAGGCTGGTGCCAATGAAAAATCTTTTACTCAAACTACAAAGAAAGGTGGAAATTCCTGAGTAAGGAAAAAAAAAGTGTGAAAAGGTTGTTACTGGCAGTATACCAAGATCTTAAATACACCTCAGTTTGCTGCAGACAACATTTTTTTTTGGTGATCTGCAAAATAAATGTACAAATATTATAAATTGGTAACTGAATAAGGCAGTATCCCACAGTATAAATTGTGCTGAATAAAGGAAAAGGAGTACATTTTAAATTAGACTTTTGTCTGCAGAGTTGTATCTACATGATGTGGAAGTAGGGTTTTTTTTAGTGGAAGAAGTGCCTTTAGCGAGTTACGTAATTCACACTCATTTTACAGTATAATTACAACTACTGGAGATCTGCTTTAGTAAATCCTTACATTGAAAGAATGGAAAAAATTCATTCTAAGCAGAAAACCTGAACACCAGTACCAACATAGAGTTTTCCATAGATCCTTTTTGCTCACTTGTGGATTTAATTTCTCTCTCTGAAGGTTTTGGTGCTTTCCAGTAGCAACTGCATCCTACAGGTAAGGGAAGAGATAGGGAGGAAAGACCCTGGCAGCAGGGAAACATTAATTAGATCACTGCAATTTTGCTTTTGCTCATTCAGAAAGGTAAAACGCCTTTCACACGCGCTTAAAGAATAATCCAACTCCCCTTGGAACAATGCCTAGATAGATGTTGAAGCCAATTAAAAGGAATTTTTCTAGGAAGCTGCTATTTTGTCAGCCCCTTCCTGCAGGACAGCTGCTCTCCAGGCGTACCTGAGGTGGAAAGAGCTGCTGCTCTCTCAGCAACGCTGCCCCCAGGCCTCCCTCGGAGCTTACAGAACAGGTGGAAACCCAATTCAGCTTCAGGAAGCTCAGCTTCATTTCCCAGACAGAGGAGATGTGTCCCAAAAACTCAACTGAAGGCTTGATGCAGACTACCGAGGCAATCGCAGGGTTAACCCTAATGTGTAATATAATCCAAGTTTAATAGCTCTTTGGCTATAA